ACATTAATTCTATTGATTAATATAATTATAAACATATAAAATAAAATATAAATATATTAATTATAGATATTATATATTATATAAATCTATTATTAGAGTTTAAATTTCTACAACTTGATAAAGACAACAAGAAAAGTAATTTTAGAGAAAAACTGACTGCTCCTTAGAGCTAAGAAACTTACGATTTTGCTCTGTGCCAATATGCACTCACAGCCCACCGCAAATGTGAAGAATAAAGTGCAGTAGAGCTGATGCACACGCATCTGCAGAGGACACACAAACTTCAAAGGGCATGTTCAGAACAAAATTAAACTGCACTGAGACTCAGGGAACAGCGTCCGTGTTTGAGAAGATGGGGGGCGGGAGGGGGATCACGCCTGGAAGAACCATCAGGAGAGACTCAGGATGTTCCTGCCTGAAGTGCCATCCTAGGAGCCCTCCAGAAGAGGATTTGCTGTCTGACAACCTCCAAACTCTCCATATGCACTCTCCTGCTAAATGACAGTAAAACTAGTAACAAACAGTAGGATTATGTCAGCGCTTCTTTTCCCCAACAGAAAGTCGACTGCAGTAAATCAGACACCAGACCAAAAGACTGCTGATCATAGAATCATAGAATCATAGAATCGATTGGGTTGGAAAAGACCTCCGAGATCATCAAGTCCAACCCTTGGTCCAAATCCAGTCCATTTACTAGATCATGGCACTCAGTGCCACGTCCAATCTGCGTTTAAAAATCTCCAGGGATGGTGAATCCACCACCTCTCTGGGCAGCCCATTCCAATGCCTGATTACTCTCTCTGTAAAGAATTTTCTCCTGATAACACAGGACTATGTCTCTCTGCAAAACTCAGTTCAGAAGATGATCTGGCTTGCTACTGTGGAAAAGATTAATCCCACAATTTCATCATTCTGCAATTTTCTCACCACACAGAACAAGTATTTGCAGCAATTATTAGTCTGTACCCAGGATCAAGATTAACCATCACTGAGAGATGCTGAAAGACACATAGGAAACAAAGCCATTTTCTCCTGAAATAAAAACATGATAGATTTTTATAAGAGACCGGTCTGAACCAGGAAATTGAAAAGCTGATTAGCTCGTAAAGCCTTTTTACAGCCTCAAGTGCTGCTAAATTTATTGATCATCATGGAACATTGAGCCAGACAACTTCCATAGCACACACTCACTCCTACTGGTTTCTTCTATTTTGAATACTAGAATAAAATTTCTGCTATTTTGGAACAGAGAAGAAACTCGACAATATTTAATCACTGAATGTTATGTATCAGCTAAAGCTGGCTAACCATACTGCTTAATTTTAACATAATAGGTTTTTCAGCAGTGGTTTTTGAGACAACCTATTTGAATTTGGTGTACGCTATTTCAAATGTTATCAAGCAAATCAGTGAACGAGATCTGTATCATATTTACCACAGAGCAGAACAAGGCTTCACACCACCTAGAAATTAACTGATCTGCCAAACAACCTTTCAGTTAGATGTCTATTTCAAGATGTCTGAATTTCAGCAACCTAATTCAAGTTCAAAGCTTAATATTGACATGTTTGTTTTTCTTTATTTCATTAACTATTAAGACTCTGAAACAGCTTTATGCTTAAACAAAAAACAACTGAGGATAGTGAATGACAATTCACTCTAAACAATTTTTGTACCATTTGACTCTTTCTTAAACTTCCAACACCTCTGTTTATGCTACCTATATGCAGGAAGTTAGGGTTGTGTAGAAAAATTTAGAATTATCCCACAGGTAATGATAAGAAGCACTGTGCATTTGTTTGTGGTTGTTTACTTCTTCTGGAAGCAGGAAAAGACTTTGATAATTAGTCAGAGATCACGCACACTACCTAAACATGAAGAACCCTTACATACTCACAATGCAACTTGTGACCACAAGAAATTACTTGAACTCCAGTGTGCAGCATGGCTACTGCTTTAAAGGCTTTACTACATATGAAGGCAACTTCTAGGTAATGTCCTTTCATGATGAGGGAAAGAGATCTGGAAAGAAAGTCATTACATGCCAAGCGGGTAACAGACTTCATATGCTGCCTTCACATCTGTGTGTCTGCAAACAGACCATGTCAATATCACAGGCTGCACACTCCTTGTTCCTTTTAAATTACATCAATAATCTGCCTTAAACACACCGTTCTTACTTCTCTTTAAAAATGTGCCCCTCAATTACCTCTTCTCGGAAACTTCCTGTTTCTGCGTCTATAAATTCAACAAGGAGGCGCACACTGAAATTTCATTTTCATTCAGTCATATTCAAATATTAGAAGCAGTGCTCCAGTCCAGTCACGGCTCTTCTCAGGTTCCCACTCTGCACAATACAGCATTACAGTAATGTATGAGCTGGTCACTGCAGATGAGCTCTCCTTTTTTTGTAGGCAGCTCAAAAATCCTTTTTTTCAGTTCTACCTCCTGCACACTGTTAGCATTTAGCTACAGCTAACTGCTGCCATTTCTGTGTGTTGTTTCAAACACGAGAATGTTCCACACCTATCTGCAGCAGCAAACTGCAGCCTGATAAGTAAACACCATGAAAACAGGAGATTAGGTGCCAGCCACATGCCATACAGCGCTGCTGAGCTCAGCTGGGATTTGTGTCACTTGGTCTGCAGTGTTGCAAAACCCTGCTCAGCAGAGTTGGGATAGAACCAGGGAATTGCAACCAGAACCAGTACTCTATGAAGGCGGGGTGCGGTGGGGTTAAAAAGACAGAAATGGTACGTAAAAGAGGACTTCATTTTATGACTGAAGATCTCCGAGGTTATGAACTCGATTACTTCTATTACAACAATGAAGCCAGGCCATACTCAAGCTGAGCAGTACTCTGAATTAGAAATTGCAAGGATGCAGAAACAAAATATTATTCATGAAGCTGTATGAACTGATACACTCACAGTCATGGTGGCACTGGTTACCAAAGCGAATGGAAATCAATAAAGGAAAATAAATAAAAACTACCAAGTCAAGGAATCTTAATAGAACTTTGCTGTGAAAAGATCATCTAGGGATAACACTGCATAAACAGGGGTGGTGGTGGTACGTTGTTGGGATTTTATCTTCAATCATTTTAGAAAAATTCAACATTGTTTTATCATTTCCATGTAAAAAGAGGCAGACTGGGGCACTTCTTGCTTCAGCAGTGACTTCCCTCCTGGGGATCAAAAATGTTAATTTTCTAGTTGGTCCAAGCAATCCTACTAAGCATGGCATAAAGACAGGCACAGACCTGACTTCTTCCAGAACCAGAAGGGTTTCTGAGCCTTAAGGAGTTCCCAAGGAGTATCCAAGGCCACCGACCTCTCGTGTCTCCCTGTCAGGCTCTTCCTTTGGCAGATGAGACTCAAGTGTTAGTGAATGGAGACATTCTCATCTCAGGATAACAAAGGGCAGAAATGGTGAGAATGCAGAGGCTGGAGAACTATTCACTGAAAAAGCAGTTCCTTTGCCTTCTGGACTCCTCTATTGCCACTCTGCATCCTCCAAGAGCCACCATCTTCAGAGCAGCACAGCTTTGCCTAGATTTCAAACTAGGAGTGTATGCCTAAAGTGCAAAGCACTAGATGTGAGAAAAAGTGGTCATGGAGCTCGTTTCTGCAACTCCAAAATCAGAAACAGAATTTTCTTCAAGTTCAACATACCCTGCATATCTAATCATTCAAAAAAAACCCAAACCAACCCCCAAACAAAAAACAAAAAAACCCTCCAACAAAACCAAAACCCAACAAAAACCCCGACCCCCAAAAAACCACACGACCCACCCCAAGCCCCTAAACCAAAAAAGCACCATTCTATACAAAAAGCTGATAGTAACAAATAAGCTAGTCTACTGTATGTTTTATATCAATCTAATAAACCCTAACATTGAGGAAGCTAGTTGTCAAAAAAAAAAAAAAAAAAAAGAGATCAAAAACTCAGCAAAGGTGTCTGCAATGTTCAAGAATTCTGGGCTATTTAATGCACTATTTTCACTTTCTCCAGAGAAAAGAGGCGTAAGTATTATACTACCAACAAGAAGTAAAAACAGTGGCATACCTCAAGCAACACCCACCTACCTAATTTCTACTACTGCAGAAAGAATACAATTTATTGAAAAGTATTATTTTTTCCATATGTGTGCTGTATCAGATGTTTCAGCATCTTTTAGGTTACATATTTTTAAGAATACTAAAGTATTGATACCTAAGCACAGTTCAACCAAGATGTTGCTCTTACAGATCACCACACCCTGACTACGCAATATGCTGTATGTGCCACAGGCATATAGGCTCTGCATTTGTATGCCAAAAAAATTATATGGGTCTTGGAAGCAGGAACAGCGTGGGCTGTGAGCAAGAAAAAAATGCCAACCACACCCCAAAACAAAAACATAAATACAACAGCAATATAAGAGCAACTTAGACACCACTTTAAAAGTTTGTTTCTCATTCCCTCTCTACTTCCAACTGCTTATGTCAGGTGGTGTTACAGCGTCTAAAAAGGGTGTTTCCAGCATGTTAAAATAATTTTAGAAGCTAATTAACTACACGCAGCTCGCTCTGGAGCGTTTCAAGTCTGCTGACAACTGAATCACGTCGGAAGCCTTGAAGTTGGCAGCCTGTGTTACTTCAGCCCACAAAACTCCAGGAAGACAGGGAGGGGGAGAAAGGAAAAAAAAATAATATAAAAAAGGGACTGCAACACGAACACAAATGATCTCAAGCAGAAGCAGCAGGAAAGCAGAGCCAACAAAAATAGCTAACTCACTTTGGATAGACGTGTGCCTTCTGTTTGCAGCAGGAATGGCAGGATGCGGCTGCTTTTCGCCCCAGCGCTGGAGCAGCTGTGGTTGTGGCTTCCGGGAGCGCAGGCAAAGCCCAGCCCGTGTGCTGAGTGGCGCAATCTCCACCCAGCAGCACGGCTGCCTCCCTGCCAGCACAGCCCCACGGTGCCAGGGGAGGGGACCCAAACCAGCTAGCGCGGGGGAAGCGAGATACGACAACGAGCAAACCTGCCTCCCAGTCTCGGGGTCACTTCTGGTAAGTGGCTGGACCAAGGTCCCCCAGCAGGGACAGCTGTCAGCAGGCTGACACTGCGAGAGTCACACAGCAAAAGCAGGGGTGAAATGCCTGCTTGGGATGGTGCAACATTCAGCTTTCGAAAAGCTGTGTTCACCTTTCGAGTTATAGTTGCACTGGTGCCACAGAAAGGAAACCACTCGTTTCCCCTCAAGAGACCAATATTCCTATTAGAAGTCTACAGGATACCCCCCTAAATTTGAACTGATTAACCAGGCTCCCAGAGTACACAAATGTTACTAACTGAAAGTCATTATCATGGTTTGGACCAGTTAAGGCCATCAGAACTTGACTGACTAGGAATTTTTTTAAGCATAACAAATCTAAATGATTTATATTAATTTATAAATTAAAAGGTTCTTCCTGAAATACCCATAGTGACCTGCTCTTGAATTTTTTTTTTTGGCTCTATAATCAAATTCTCAATACTTGTCATATGGGATTGTAACTTCAGATACCTTTTACTCAAAAATTATTCCTTTACAAGGTGCCTCTGCAAAGGTCACCAAATAAAAACTGGGTGACAGTTAAATAAGGTATGCAACAAAAAGAAACCTAAACAGTAAATATACTGATAGTAGGAACAACTTTTGATGATAAACTAGATTAACTTATCCACTGCAGCAATACTGGGACTTCACTCAAAGGTATTTAGTAACTGCCCTTTTTTGTCTTGTGTTCCTGTTCATTGTATAAGAAAGCAGACTGAATGGCCCCTTAAAACAGCGATAATTTGGATGCCAGTTGAAAGCAAGTAGTCTTAAATTTCTTAAATCATTAAGGTCAAGAAGCTTTCTGTGAAAATCTGAAATCAAAGTAATTCTTACTAAATTTCCACTGTTGTTGAGCTCTTCCAGCACTGTTTAAAAAATAGTCCATGATAGTAAAATGAGCAAAGACTCTCACTTCTCTAAGCTATGGCAGCCAGCCACAAAAAGAAAATTATTACTTGTTAAGAGCAATGCAAAAAATCTGCTACATAAAAAGCAGCAAAACTTCATCTGTTATCAATGGAATTACCACAAAAGAACACAAAGATGCAAGAAAGGTGGCTGGATCCATCTGTGTTCAATTATCAGTGCCTTCTATTAATAGCTATGATTGAACATTAAGCTAGAAACTGGCTGTGGAACTGGCAAAACCATCATTAAAGGCTGTAAAAGAAAACGAAGCAGCACTGGTAGGGGATCTTCTGCAGAGGGAGGAGGTTGGATCAGATTTTCCTCCTCACCGCTGGCTCATAATACTAGTAAGCCATGACCTCCAAAAGTTTGGGCACCTTTGCAGTTAATGTATAGAAGGAAGAGGCTGCTCATAGGCAACCAATAAATATTCCTGATGATCATAACCTTACCTGAATCTACCTTTTTAGTCCATTTATCTGACAAGGCAGACAAATGCTTACTGAAAACACCCGCAGTCAAACAGGACTCCACATCGAAAAGGAAAGAAAGGCCTGTGATAGATACAAAGGAGTCAAAACATCTGTTTCTGTTAAACACCTTTAAATTATTAATTTAGATTTGAGTCATGCAGAAACTAGGCACATCAAGGTTGCCATAGGCAGCCAAATAACATCCCTCCACATTGAGCAGAAGCAATGAGTACATCCTGGCTGCAATGCCAGGAACTCGAGAGTGACCGAACGAAGAGCACAGAGGTAAAATGAAGGCACAAAGAACTGTTCAGATGGAAAGCACAATGAAAACAAAGCTGGACGGGGCAGTGCTGTCCCTTAGGAGTTGTCCATGTGACAGGTACCATCACAGGACAATCAGACTACGCACATCCATGACACAATGACAAGGCGTCATCACACACAACTTCCTGCATCTTAAAACTAAGAAATACAAGTGACCCAAGAAGGAACAAGCCATCAGTTATTATTACTTACTGACTAAAAGGAAAAATTATTTAGACCTAACATGAGGCAGCAAAACCCCCTCTGGCTGTTCAATTCAGAGTAAGTCATTTCACCAGAGAGTATGAATATGTTAAAAAAATAAACAGCTTGAGCTGGAGCAACTAACTATCCTACTTCCCCTGCCTCTTCTAAGGAGTTAGAAATTTATCTGGGATAAAATGCATCAATGACAAGTATTACTGACCAACAGAATTATTAAAGAATCAAAAGAGGTTTTGCACACAGGACACATTAAAGCTACATCAGGGGAAAAAAAATAAAGGAAGAAACAGCAGTTCCAAATTGTCTAAGACCTGGTGGAGTATTTCTGATTGCATTAAAAGATTTTATCAGTTTGCAGCAAAAGAGAAAGGGCTGCCTTGCCTCTTCAAGAAATACTTCTCTTCCTGTAAATTTCTATTTAAAAAAAAAAAACAAAACCTCTGCAAAATTTTTGTTTCCAATAGATATTTTTAGAGACCAAAATAAGGGCAGAAAGAAATACAGCAAGCCAAATAAAAAAGCTACAGGTAGCACAAACTATAAGAACAATACATCTCTGAGTTTTGCTCTATTTTAAATAACACTACAGGCTCACAGGATATTATTTAAAAGATATAAAGATATAATTAACAGAAGATTTAGCCTAAGTGAAGAAAAGCAGAAATGGCTGAGTGGGAACTAAAATGGGTAAACTTAAAATAACTATCCAATAACAGTCACTATTAGACAGCCATGAGATAAGTATTGTCACACTATATAATCTTTACCTATAAATATTTTGGAATGTTAAAGAAACTGGGGAAACACCCAGTACTGATGAAATACATAGCCTAGGTTGTCATAACCTAATATAAAGCAATTCCTGGCAATTGCATTGCATTATTTTCATGACACTACCTTCCAGTTCTTATCCTTAGTAGCATCACCAGAAATCGTGCCTTTCACCCTTAGGGTCGAGGACACACTTATCATAAAAAGAACATTAACTGAAAAAAAAAAACCCAAAAGAAAACTTAGAGATGTGTTAGTTAGAAAATTAGATATGTGCTTCCACGGTACTGTGCAGCTGTAGATTCTCATGCAGAAGGATGATCCCTGAGATTGTCTCACCTGTCATGAGAACTACATATGGACAACTACATCCACCTTGACTAGCAGGCAAAAGGCCCTGGCAAAGTAAAAGCAATAGAAAGATAAGCTGGGGATGTCTTTATAATGATAGACAAAAGCATTGAAAGTAAGTGACAACAGCATTTATACCCTTGTCTCCTCCTTCCTTAGCCGGAAAGGAAAAATAATAACTTAAGTGGTTTAGAGAAATCTTTAGGAGTATTATTTTACAACAGCTTTGATTAAGAAAATAAAAATCCCACTCAAAAGCAGAAACATTTCCTGCTGATAGGATCCTTCAAACAATGGGTTATATCTCCAGATATGGAACACTGGGGTGGATTAATGGACTACTTGGAGTAATCTGTAGGAGCAACCAGCCTCACATCCGTGGTGTGAACTGATGAGCTGGACAGCCCCTGGCTCACATACAAAGGAATGAAGATGTGTTGAAAAATATGTTACAAAGTGCTTTTGAAACCTGAAAGTGGAAAATAATGGAAGTGCAGAACAAGGTGCTAGAGCTAAAACAAAGACATCAGTCTTGTCTCTGCTACTGACCAGCAGCCAAATAATTCACTCTGCCATCAAGATGGGCCTGATTTGAGCTCTCCCTGAACTGCAGCAGCATTGCACACCAGGGACCCTTCCCCTGAGCAGGGAGGCCTCTTGAAGTTTGGGATCCCTCACCTGAGACAGAGATCCTTCCTTACCTGTGGCAGAGAGACCCCTTACTCACAACAGATCCTCAGTGAGTGAGTGGTAGTGTGCTGAATTAATGCTATGAAACAGCACCAATCCATATATAGTTACTCAATACTGTTATAAACATTATATGGATAATTCCACTAGACATAAACCCTTGTCCGAATCTGAGACTAGGACTGGACTCAGCCACACTTAAGGTTCATCAGGAATTTAGAAAGCAAGGGGGTCTACTCTGAACTTTGTGACTCAGCGGGAAGGTCTCCATTACCCTTTTCGTCTCTCTGTGTGAATCATTCCAACTCAATTCTAACTCAATTTTCCTTTTTATGTTTCTTCCATGCAGTAATTAACGAGATGAACCTGGCAATCAAACTTACAGAATGTTGTCAAACCACCGTTAATCTTCATTAATTTCCATCAAACTGTCAAATTATTAATTTACCTCAATAAAACATATTGCTGCTTCTCTTTCCAGTGAGCTGCATTTCAGTCATCTGTGACAAATAGCACTACCAAGTACAGCCATCAACCACCATCAGAAAGAGTATTTTCAAAACCTTCTTTCAATACTCTGCAAGACCTGAGCACCCTGTTGCTCCTCAGAGTATCATCTGCACTCCTTTGCAACTCAGCTTTATAACGCCTCTTGCTCCAGGGACAATGAGAGCAAAGACAGTTTCTCAGTGCTTCAATCTCACCAGGTTCCACAAAGTAAACAGAATCCAAAAATACAACAGCTAAAGGTGAAAAAAGAACCACAGGGCTGTAAAAGTCAAATGAAGTTTGCCACTCATATCAATGGGACCAGGATTCTTTAAAATATCTAGGACACTAACAAAGAACACATGGAAGGGGAGAATGCTACCACATCTATTTCCTCAGGAAGTCAACAGTGGCTTCTGCTCCCCTTTCATTTCAATTTACTATGATTTCTAGCAAGTCATGAAGAGCATCCTAGTGCTGTTGAACAAATGGTTTTCTGTGAAGCCACACCATATTCTCTTCACTGGTAAAATGGTAAAAAAGACCACTTCCTTAAGTATACATTACCTTAGCAGCAGAAGGTGCTCCCCTTGTCTGTGTTTTGGGGGGTTGGCTGATATTAGCAGTTGCTTGTTTTTCCTACAAAAAAAGAAAAGAAACACATAGTAAAGATCAGAAATATTTATGAAGGGGAAAAAAAATCAAAAAAAGGACACTAAAAAAAATGTTAATTAGAACATTTTTGCAAGGCAAGTCATCAAAAAATTAATTCCCCTATGTAACTTTAATTCACGCAGGCACATTTCACACAGTGTTGCCCAGCCCAGAACACGCTGAGCTCTCTTGCACTGTTTTATGGCTCATATATCATGGCCAGGCTTCGCAAAAGAAGATTTGGGGAGGGCTCTACCCATGTTTGTTACAAGCGCGCTGGTGGCTAAAAAGGCCAATACAAGATAGGCATGTCCAGTTGCAAAAGGCACAGCAGAAAGACTCCTTAGGTGGTATATTCTGCAAGACACAATTATTTCTGCAGTCTTTTCTCCTCAAGAGTGATCCTGCATAAGTTCTCAAAGGAAGCAGCAGCGTTATTGATGGTGTGTCTCCAGACCTCCCGATTGGAGGCCAGAGTAGACCAGTTATGGTGATCAATATGGCCAAGGCTGAGATGTTGTTTCAGGGAGTCCTTGTATCTTCTCTTCGGGGCTCCTCTCTTGCGGCAGCCGGTGGCAAGTTCACCATAAAGCAAGATCTTAGGGAGGTGGTGGTCCTTCATCCTGGAGATGTGCCCTGCCCAGCACAGCTGTGTTCTCAGTAACATGGCCTCAATACTTGTGACTGCTGCTTGTTCTAGAACAGTTGTACTGGTCACATAATCTGACCAGTGGATGTTTAGGTTTGAATGGAGGCAGCGTTGATGGAAGCGTTCTAGGAGTCACAGGTGGTGGCGGTAGATGACCCATGATTCGGAACCGTATAAGAGAGTAGACAGCACTATGGCTCTGTAAACACTGATCTTGGTACTTTTCTTCAAGTGTTTATTACACCATACTCTTTTATGAAGCTTTCCGAAGGCACTGTATGCCTTTGGTTACCTGTTGTCTATCTCCTCATCAATCTTACCATCTGAGGAGATGAGGCTGCCTAGGTAATTAAACTGCTGGACTGATTTGAGCTCTGACTGGCCAATGGTGATGTGGGGATGATGGAAGACTTCCTGAGGTGCAGGTTGATAGAGAACTTCTGTCTTCTTTAAGCTGACTTCCAGCCCAAAGAGCTCAGCAGCATCTGCAAAGCAGGATGTTAAATGCTGCAGAGCTGCTTCTGTGTGGGCGACAAGGGCGGCGTCATCAGCATAAAGCAGCTCCTGGACAAGATGGTTTAAGGTCTTGGTGTGGGCCTTCAGTCACCTTAGGTTGAAAAGGCTTCCATCAGTACGGTATCGAATGTAGATACCGTCTTGATCATCGAGGTCTGCTGTGGCCCTTTGGAGCATCATGCTAAAGAAGATGGTGAATAGGGTTGGTGCGAGAACACAGCCTTGTTTCACACCATTAGTTATTAGAAAGGGCTCAGAAAGTGTGTTGCCATATCTGACTTGGCCGTGCTGATCCTCATGGAGTGAGATGATCATTTTAAGGAACTTGGGAGGACAACCTAAGCGTTCCAAAATCTGCCATAGACCTTTTCTGCTCACAGTATCGAAAGCCTTGGTGAGGTCGACAAAGGTTACGTAGAAACCTTTGTTCTGTTCCCTGCACTTCTCTTGCAGTTGTCTCAGAACAAACACCATGTCTGTGGTGCTCCTGTTGGCTCTGAAACCACATTGGCTTTCAGGTAGAATTCCTCCTGCTATAGCGGGTATTAGTGTGTTCAAGAGTATACTTGCCAGGATTTTGCCAGCAATGGAGAGCAGAGTAATACCACGGTAATTTGAACAGTCTGATTTAACTCCTTTCTTCTTATACAAAGTGATGATGACTACATCACGAAGGTCTGATGGTAGTTTGCCTAGTTCCCAACAGCGTACCACAAACTCGTAAAATTTAGCGTGGAGTGCAAGGCCCCCATGTTTCGAGACTTCGGGTGGAATTCCATCAATCCCAGCTGCCTTGCCAATTTTCACCTGCTGTATGGCCTTGAGGGTCTCTCCTAAAGTAGAGGCAATATCCAATTCATACTTCACTGGTGGTTGTGTGATGGACTGAATTGCTGAGTCTTGGACTACACAGCTAGTACTAAAAAGAGTCTGAAAATGTTCAGACCAACAATTCAGAATGGAGGTTTTATCTGTAAGAAGCGTTTGACCATCTGTGCTGAGTAGAGGACTTTGGACTTGGTACGCAGGCCCATATGCTGTTTTCAAGGCCCCACAGAATCCTCTGTGATCACCCGTATCTGCACATAATTGAGTTTTTTCAGCTAGATTGATCCACCACTTGTTCTGGATGTCACGGAGTTTCTGGTGGAGCTTGCTGCAAGCAAGACAAAAGGCTGTTTTTCTTGTGTGACAGGATGGCAGTGCAAGGTGTGCTTGGTGGGTGGTTCTCTTCTTCCTCAACAATTCCTGGATCTCTTGATTGTTTTCATCAAACCAGTCCTTGTTCTTCTTGAGGGAGAACCCTAAGGATTCTTCAGAGGACTGCAGGATGCTGTTTTTAATATGGTGCCAAAGTGTTTCAGTAGAGGTATCTGTAGAATCTATGGAATGGTTATCAAGCCTAGTTTGAAGATTAGCCTGGAATTTGTTTCTCACTGTGGCTGATTGGAGATTGTTAACTTGGGAGTCTCCTCCTTCGGATGCTGCCCCTTTTAGGTTTGAATTTGAGATTGAAGTTAAGTTTGCAGCGCACAAGCTGATGGTCTGTTTGGCATTCTGCACTAGGCATCACGCAGGTGTGATGGACATCGCGGACATCTTTCCGTCGCACCAAGATATAATCAATAAGGTGCCAATGCTTGGATCTGGGGTGCATCCAGGTTGTCTTCAGACTGTTTTTCTGCTGAAAGATAGTATTAGTGATGGTGAGTTGTTGCTTTGCACAGAATTCTACCAGAAGTCGACCATTATCATTGCAGCTTCCAACATCATGCTTGCCTAATATTCCTTTCCAGGCTTCAAAATTCTTTCCTACTCTGGCATTGAAATCACCAAGGATAATGATCTTATCATCTGCAGGCGCCTTTTGGGTAAGGAGGCGCAGGTCGGTGTAAAATTTATCTTTTTCAGCAGGGTCAGCTTGGAGAGTTGGGGCATATATACTAAAGAGGACAACGTGTTGCTTGTTGTGTAGTGGAAGGCGTAGGGAGATAATTCGGTCAGAATGACCTCTGTCGGCAGATTTTTGAGTTTAGGAACAATAGAGTTTTTGCTCATGAAGCCAACTCCTGAGAGATGCTTTTCAGTTCTTGGCTTACCTGACCAAAAGAGCATGTAACCAGCACCATGTTCTCTGAGGCTGCCTTCCTTGTGAAGGCAAACTTCACTGAGAGCAGCAATGTCGATGTTGAGACGAGGCAGTTCATGGGCAATTAGGGCAGAACGACGCTCAGGACGTCCACTATCCGCAGAATCGAGCATGGTTCTGATGTTCCAGTATGCTAGAGTTAATTTAGGTACACCTCTGGAGGCAGGTGTATTGCCTTTGTCTTTTGATCTTTGTGTGACTGCATCTGTAGAAGATGGCCGTTTGGCTTTGCAAATGTGGGTAAGGCCTTCAAGCCTGTGCAGTGGATTTTTTAGGTGAGACACAGCATGCACGGAACTGAACCCACCCTTTAATCCTAAGGTTCATCTGCCAGGGCCAAGTGAGCTTGGACGGTGGCAGCGAGGTCCTCAGGACGTAGATTTAATTAGAGTGACCTTCTCTTAGATGGATGGCCTTACAGGGCTAAACGAGCTCCATGTGCCCAAGTTTAGAGTTGTCCTTCTCCTTCGTGTGCTCTGAGGCTCCCACTCTCATCTCCCACGAGGGCACAGTCCACGCCAGCGCAGCTCCCCCTCTCTCACTCCTTTCTGTGCCCCGGGCCGGGGACCGCGCGGGGCACCTATGGTTCATATATAAATCTGTGCTATTTTCTGTGGCAGAGTGACTCCATTTTAAGTAACAGTTAAAGTAACAGAAACCATATATTATTTGATGAAAGATATCAATGAAAATAAGAAGGTCAAGCTATTGCTGTTCAGACATAATTTGAATGATAACCCAGAAAGTAACATCACCCTCAGGGAGGGAGGTAAAGGTACAATGCTAAAATCAAAATTATAGTTTTTCTAAGAAGCTTAAGATTCCAACACAATTAAAGCATTCACTCTTCCAGCTGCTCTCCACAAGCAGGGAAGGCTGCAGAAGGACAAAAGATTCCACCAGCGAACTCAGTAGCACCAGTTTTTAATGGATTGGGCACTAGATATTGGAACAGACTGGGGGATCTGGAGACCTCTGTCATTAAGGCGGAGCTTCTGTTCTCTTTCTGATTTAGCTCAAAAA